TTCATGAGATAAGTGTTAAACATGCCTAACCTTTGTGTTTGACTCATGATGAATGCTTTTGTGCATATTTCTTCATATTTAGAGTGTGTTGACAATGATGTGATGTAGGTTCTGACCTTACTTATTTTTCGTCTTGCTTGATTCAATTTGTCTTGGTTTACTCATAGTTGACACATGGTTAACTTTTCAAGGCGTGTATGTTTGTGTATTAATCATTTGACTTTGCCTAAATATTTGAGATGTGTTGTGTGACTTCTTTGAGCATGTTTAGATGATTTAAATACGTATAAGTGTTCACTTGTATTCCTCTTTGTGGATTTAATTTAAGTTGGAAACATGTTTTGTCTTGCATGCATGCTTGTTTCTTCTTGCTTGGCTTAGTTTAATCTTCTTATTTTGGTTGCTTAAGATGAATTCTTGATGATTTATTTCTTTCATACTTGATGCATTTCTCTTACCTCCTTCATACTTTACATCTCATTTGGTGGACATTGTGTATCCTTCTCCCCCATTACAATGTAATAGTTTAGTTCCTTTTGCTCATGCTTGCTTGCTTGCTTGTTCTAACGTCAAGTTATTTTTCAAACTCATTTAACTTGGTTTATACCTTAGGGTTTCTCTTCTATTCTCTTATCTCTTTCATTAAACCCCACATTAACCTTGTATGTATTTTACCCTTGTAAGTCAATTGCCTTATGCATCACCATCAATCTACCTTGCTCTATTCACCACCCATTATTTTTAAAATCTTTTCTCTCTTTCTTTTGTCCCATTGAGTCTAAAAGCCTTGGTCTTGTACCAAGTACATTTTCAAACTTATTTTCTTAATAAACTTGGATGGTTGTGGAGTGGTTACGCGAAGACATTATCCTATCCCAAGTGCTTGACACTATCTTTAGGGTTCACTGTCATAAAGTACTTACCATTCAAAATCAAAAAATATTAAATAAGAGAATAAGATTCTCTTTGTATTGATCTAAAGAGAGAGGATTGGGTGAAAACTTCTTCCTCTCCGAGTATTAGGATGCTCACTTTAGAGTGTGTGGTCTCGATACTCGTCTTTCAATATGAATACATAACTATATTCGCCACACAATTTTCACAATGAATCTTTTGAGATAAATAATTGGGTAATACCCGCAAGGGGTTACTATCCGATGACTTATCTCACCCCTAAAATCAACCTTCAACACATCAAATGTGGCATCTTGCCTTGATGGCGAAAACTCATCCTTTTCAAAAAGGGTATGTTATGTCTATTCTACCGTAAACAGGTAACGCATAAGACTCCACAAACGAGTTGCAATACACCTAACTGCTAGAATGTGAATGTTAGCATCATCCATAAAAAACACCAACAAACCGTAGTTCCAGGAACTACGGACGCTCTGATTCTTCACTTCTTTTAAGTGAAGTTACGTAGGCACAAGGGCCCCAATCCTTGGCAAGCACTCTTCCATTTTTTTCACCCGTAGTCCTCCAAACTACATTGACTTTGACTTTCCTATTGTATGAGGGAATATGTAGGCATAGAACTGCGAATTCCTATCGAGTCTTCTTTTTGTTTCCACATTTTATTTTCCTTTTTTCCTTTATTATTTTCTTTATCTTTGTTCCAACCCTTCTCTCTCCCTCTTAGAACATTCTTCTTATCAATTTTCTTAGAAAACACCCTTACACATAAGACAAGTGAATGGTTCCCATCGAGTACGATGGATGCGAGGGGTTCCTAATACCTTCCCCTTGAAAAACCGGCTTCCGAACCCATCTCTTGGTTGCGAGACCATCTTATCATTTTTCTTCTTGGGGTTTTCTAGATGTTTTCTCTTCCCCTTTTGGGATAAATAAAGTTCGATGGCGACTCTGTGTTTTCCTTTTCGCCTCAACGTCGTTGCATTTTTCGAGTAGCGACACTTATTATTTATTTTATTGTTTATTTGCAATTTGTTTCCATTATTTCAATAAAATGTCAAAAATATACACTATTAATTATTTTAATTAATTTAATTTAATTAAATTAATTAAATTACTAATTAAATTTATTAAGTTAATTTATTTAACTTATTAATAGTTTAGTGCTTTTGTGTGATTTTCGATTTTCATGCCTATTACTTTTGTTCATGTGTTTGTTTTACTCAAGCCATAATGTAGTGCGCTCCACCATTTATTTACAACCCTAAACCTCTTTTTTTTAACTAATTCTCAATTTATATCGAGCCATTTTTATACCTTGTAAGTCGGTCACTTATGATCGCCATCGACCTTAACAGTGAAGTTATTTAGTAAGCGATTCAGAACTTGTACATTTTCAAACCTCGATCAACATCGAGGATTTTCCTAAAAAATATATAATAATTAAAACATAAAATAATATCAATTTTATTTTAAAAGTTAACGAGGGGTTTTGAATCTTCAAAATTTCTCTACAAATATTTGAATACGAGACTTCTTTCTCGTGTTGAAACAATTGTGTCCTTAAAAGACTTATTCATACCTTAACATTATTTCATAAAAGACAGGAAGAGAGTTGAATCTTTCACTCTTTTCTTTCTATTAATTAAGTGTGAGATATCTTTCTCGTGTTCGAGTAATTGATGTCAATAAAAACACCAACGTGCAAACCATACGAACTACGATTTCTCTGATTCCTCATTTTCAAATGAGAATACATAGGCACAACAACGGCTCCAATTCTTGGCTAGCACCCTAATAAAAAACTTCCTATCACCTTAATAACAAAATTAATCATTTTTCCATAACCCCTAATTAACCATTTTGCAAATATCTTTATTATTCAAAGAATGAAAATAAGCGTAGTAGACACTCCAAAATCACTAATTAGACTAAGAGGTTCCCGTTGGATATAACTGATGTGAGGGGGTGCTAATACCTTTTAAATGGTTTAAGTGAAAAGATTCTCTCAATATTTTCCTATTCCTTTATTGGAATAAATTAAAGTTTGGTGACGACTCTGTTCGAACATGTTTCTCTGCGTCCTTCGTGAAGATCGTATTTTTTTAGGTCCGACATTGAGGCCCTAATCGATTGAGATTATGCAAATCACCCTTCTTGGTACTTTTTGGGCCTTGTGTTGCAATTTTATTTGACTTTCTCACTTTTTTCACCCATTCCCAGCTTATTTGCACCCATTTCTATAAAAGCACTAACAAGCTCATTTAATTGGTTTACCAAAAAAAATTTAAGTGAAAAGCAAGTATTAAACACATTATTTTAAAGAATTTATCGGATTTTTCTGGTCATTCAACCTTTAAGATGGTGTATTACAATGATTATCAAGTAAACCGAAGATAATATTTTTCACTAGTTATCTTCAAGAACAAAAAAAAAAAGAGTTTTATCTTAAGTAATTTAGCTCACAAACCAAACGTCAATTTAATATTAAATCCCTTAAACAAAGCTTTTAACGGGTTTAGCTTCAAACCCAAACAAACACTTTCTAAGGATGAGGTATTTAACAAAAATAAAAATACTTCTTGGTGAATTTAAAATTTTAATCATTTCTATAACAAGTTTTCTCACTTAAACACAAGGACTTTCTCAAAGCGTTATGGCTAAATTAAAGTGGGAGTGTGTGTGAGATAGCTCAAATTGATGGATGTAAAAAAATTTAAGGGATATGCCTTTATTTATAGGCCAAAGCTTAGTACGAGAAAGAAAATAATCTATGGGCTACTTTAATGTTCCAAACAATTGGACTGCCTAAATAATCGACTATAAATCTATATTTTGGAAATATTTGATAGAGTTGTTACCCTTCATTATGACAATGTCACAATCAATTATGGAATGGTTTTTTTACTTACTCAATCGATTAAAAATATGCTCCAATCGATTGAACATTTCAAAATACATGTCCAAACTATTCAGACAAATCGTGATTCATTTGGCTATGCTCAAAAATATTTTTAGGTTATTTTCTTTGAGATATATGGGCTTTTAAAAAGGTTTGAGTGAGTGTGTAATTTATCCATGTTAATCTTCTAAAACACCCTTGTTTTTTACAAAACACTAACACTAATCTTTCATAAACTTGTGAGAGTTTTTTCTCTTTCACACTCTGAGACTTCAAGACTTTGCTGAATACACCAATCATATAAGCATTTTCTTGAGTCTTCTTAGAGAAGAGGCTTGAAATATCTTCAATTTAAATGACATCATCTGAGGATAATTACATATATTATCAAACCATATTGCATCTATCTTCGGATAGAGGAACTTCAACAAACTATGTTTTGCATCTTTAACGACTTAAGATAGGTGAAGTACTTGCATTTCCCTGGGTTATCATGAAGGATATATCTTCTTGAGTTTTCATCATCCTAACTAGGAAACGTTTATGCATGCCTAGCTTGATCACTTCTTAATTAACCTTCAAATGATTCCACCCAATGAGAATAACCCTATGTTTATAGGATTATCCCTATGTTTATAGGATTATCTGTAGTGTTTAAGGTATTTGGGCGCTCATAAAGAATTAAGGAAATGGATTTTCATCTTACATTCATGGGCTTTCCTTCTTAGGATGTGGTGAAATTATTCTAATACAAAATACAAAGAAAATAGTGAAAATAATTTATTTGTGTAATTCATTTAAAAATAATTTATACATTTGTGAAAGAAATAAAATATAAAAATTGGCTATTATATTTTCATTAAATATTATTATTTGACTTGGAGAGACAAATATATCACTTTTCCTAAAAAAAAAAATGTTCAAATAAAGAATCCTACAAAAGTACAAAGTAGTGCAAGACCTAGTAATTCCACAAAATAAATAGTCAATTAAATAATACACTCTTAGAACAGAAACTCAACAAATTATTTCTTAAGAATATCATACATTGGTAAAATTTCTTTTTAAATAGAGACAATAATCTATTTTCAAAGAAATAGCTTGACCCTCTTTTGACATCTAAGAATCAAAAGTTATTCTTTTCATTAAGCTATGGGCTAAAAGTTTTAACAACCCTAAAATAATTTCAAGAAAGACATGGGACATTTGGTTTGCAAGAAGAACATGACCCTTGTACATTATTGCATGTTGCAGATATTGGCTTTCCATCAAGACCAGTTATTTTAATATTTTCGAGTACAATTTCAGTGCATCCAATACGGTCACAATTCAATTCAATTGCTTCCTCATCGTCTGCAGTTCCTTCAATGTTCCGGAAAGTAACATCACTCACTTTCACAGCTTTGTTTAATCCTTGTAAAGCATCGTATTGCTGATCAATAATCACTGGATTCTTCACACCAAAAAGTTTAATATCTTCATAAGTTATCTTCCTCGCATACCCAGATCCTCCCTAAATAAATAAAAATACATACAGAATTTTATTGTGATTAAATTCAATTGTTGTTAATTTAATTAATTATCCAGTTCTTACTTACCACCCATGTCTTGATTCTAGCACCATTAGTTGTTCCTGTGAATGTTATATTTCGTACATATACATCCTCTACTGTTGCATAACTCCCACCTTTTCCAAGACTTCCAACACTATATATTCAACAACACATTCAAGAATTTTTATAATTTAAATCAATATCAATGAAATAATTACATAATGAAAAAATAAAAATCATAAAATCATTTTAACAACTAACCTGATGCCATGACCAGGTCCACAATAAACATCAGTAATATTTATAAATTGGGAGCCTGAGTTAATAGCCACGCAATCGTCTCCTATAATAAATAAAAGTTAAAAAAATTAATAAAATGTAAATAGTGTATGTATAACAAAAGAGAATAATATAGGATTAAACCAGTTGAGATGACTGATTTTTGAATGACTATATGTGTTGACGATGCAATGTCAATCCCATCGGTGTTAGGACTATCTTTCGGAGCAGTCATATGAATATCGAAGATTAAGGCACCAGTGCATGAAGTTATGCTTAAATGATTTCTTGGACTATTGATGTGTCTTAAACCACTTAGTTTTATATTTTCACATCCAAGAATTCGAAGAGCCTGCACATACATGTTATTTCAACTAATTAAATATAACCTTTAACTCCGAGACTCAAAATCATTATATTATAAAAATCATGTAACCAACTTACCGTTGGTCTATCATGTTCACCAACATCGTTCCACCAGGAACTACCTTGACCATCAATTGTTCCTTCTCCACTAATAACAAGGCCATTCACATGACTGAATGCAATCCATGATTCACTATCGTTATTATCCCATTTCCAACTCTCCCTTCTTTTTGGAGCAGTGATAGTTCCCATTATCTGTCAAACCAAATATCAATAATATTTTTTTATTAAATTATATATATATATATATATATATATATATATATATATATATATATATATATATATATATATATATATATATATATATATATATATATATATATATATATATATATATATATATATATATATATATATATATATATATATATATATATATATATATATATATATATATATATATATATATATATATATATATATATATATAAATGATACAAAGTTTCTTATAGACTCATACGTAGGATACTAAATACATTAAACTATTTATAACCCACCTCAACATTAATTGTTTTAGATTTGCAAGGACCTTGAAACTTCATAGGTTGCAACATAAATTTTTTGTCTTGAGGTATTATAAGTGTTGGGTTGCCTTCAGTGGTACCACAGACATCATTCCATGCTTTTAGAAAAGCCTTTTATGTAAAAGTTTAAATAATTGTATAAGATTTGAGATATTTTGTATCATAAGAATAATATATATGAAAAAAAATGCATGAAAAAAAGAAAAGAAACTATAACAAAAATATACATTTGAATCGTCTGTATATCCATCACCCTTGGCACCATAACTAACGACATTAAAGTTTTGGCCACCTTGTTTATGATTTACAAATGCAGAGCACATAACAAGTGAAGAAATACAAAACACTAGAAGAAGAAAAAAAATGGCTTTCATCTTTGAAATAAGAAGAAAAACTAGTTTAATTAGAACACGAATAATGTATTGTGTTAAGCTAGAACACTTTGTTAGTAAAAATAAAAGAAATCACAATTATATATATATATATATATATATATATATATATATATATATATATATATATATATATATATATATATATATATATATATATATATATATATATATATATATATATATATATATATATATATATATATATATATATATATATATATATATATATATATATATATATATATATATATATATATATATATATATATATATATATATATATATATATATATATATATATATATATATATATATATATATATATATATATATATATATATATATATATATATATATATATATATATATATATATATATATATATATTGGAGGATCATAAATACTAGAGGAAGCCATACTTATTACCAATAATTGTAAGGATTTTTATGTCTATAGGATTCACTACAAAAAAAATAATATTGATATAAATTGATGAAGTTATTAATTATGGATTCAATTAATATTAATTAAGTGTAACTTATGTAAGATTAAAGCAAAGAATATATTTGGAATGACATCAGTGTAATGAATCAAAAATTGGTCTTTCCCTAAGTGTCACGTGTGTGTCAGATTATGAGCATGAAATTGCAGCAGATTATGAGCATAAAATTGCATGTGAATTGAATCATATGTTGTTGTGAGTTGAATCATGCAAAATACTAAACCTTATGGTGAAGTTATAAGTTGAATCATAGTGATCTATGCATTGTCTCATAGAGCAAAGATTGCCTAAAAATGGAATTTTAGGTTAGAAATTTCTACATTGAGTGGCTTAACACTCCTTTGGCCTCAAGAGTGAATACTGTACTTAGAAGTAATAATGGAATGGTTAGGATGATTTTAAAATAGGAACACCTTAAGTATCATTGACAATTAATGATAATGCATATGATTTAAAATAAATCTTATACGAATGAATACGTCTTCACAATGTTATCTGTTTAACATAAGGGAAGTACATGAGATATAGCTTTGTTATGTTATAATTATGTTGTACACTAGTAAAAATAAAATAGATTACAGTTTGAGATATTACACCTGTTTTATTAAAAATGGGTGTAAAAAACAAACGTGGTAGCGATTTTGTAAATAAAAAATCATTTTAAGTTATATAGATTAAAAATAAACATTTTGTTTTCCAAATCATATATATCCTGAATAGTTTTTTTTTATTATAATTTGTTTGTTCATGAATTATGATGTTATTGATAGTTGATAGGTTGATTGATCTATAGTCTTTTACTTTGTTTGGATTAATCAGTTACGTTATTGTGATTTGTAGTTTGGATACTTTTCTACTAATACATAATTGAAGATTTAAGTTTAAGGGGTTCTCTTATCTTTCGACTATTTTCTTTGAATTGACTCTTTGGGCTTATACTTATAAAACCAAAAATTCTAAACTTTTCTTTCCTAGGGGTATTTGAGTTGTTTGTATGAGTAATTGTAAATTTGTGATATTAAGGAGGATTTAATCCATGACGGCCGAAGGAAGGGATTTAATTTAAATCTAAAATATTGATGATTAGAAACGGGTGGAAGAAAGGTACTCAAAAAGAAACCACAATGATTATTGTCTCATACAACATCAAAGGGGGAGGAAGCCTAATCAAGAGGAGAAGGATTAGGTACACTTTGGCATCAGGTAAAACTGATATTTGTCTGATCAAAGAGTCTAAGTTTAATGTTTTAGATAGTTCTAAGATTTTTAGTTTTGGGTATGTTAAAGATGTTTGTTGGTCTGGAAATCCTTCTTTGGATCTGTCTTGAGGTCTTATCATTCTCTGGAAACCTAGCTCTAACAATGCTTTGTTTAGTTTTAGAGTGGAGAGTTTTTGGGTCTATGCCTATAATGGAAAGGTCATTTGTATTTTATAATTAATGTGTATTCCCCTTGTATTTTAATTGGTAAGAAAAAACTTTTGAAGGACCTTATTAAACTTAAATCTAAGTTTAATTTAGAGGACCGGTGCATTGGGGATAACTTTAATTGCATTCTTAACAGAGAGGAGAGCCAGGGTAATCAATCCAGTAATATGCGTTATGAGATGGATGGTTTTAGGAATTTTATCAATGCTACGGGCTTCATTGACATCTAATGTATTAGTAAAAATTCACCTGGTTTGGTAGTGATGGCATATCTATCAACAGATTAGATAGGTTTCTTTTATCTTATAACTTAACATCCAGATAGGGGTTGTGAGTCAATTTGTTGGGGACAAAGATGTGTCTGATCGCTGTCCCATTTAGTTGATATCTAGTGTCTAGAATTAGGGTCGCAAACCTTTCAAGTTCAATAATTGTTGGTTTGAACACAAGGATTTTATGGAATTCATTAAGTTTAACTAGGATAACATGCTTATTCGGGGAAGGAAAGCTTACGTACTCAAAGAGAAACTCAATCTTCTTAAGATTGAGGATTTGGAACAGAGATATTTTTGGTAAGATGGATCTTAATCTTAGTGAAAAAATTAAGGCTATCAACAATCTCGATCTTAACTTGGTTGCCTGCTCTGATGATTTGATTAAGGATTTGGTGTCTAATAGGAGCGTGGCCACTAAAGCTATGTGGGAGAAGTTGGCTCTTAAGGATAATCTTATTAGACAAAAATCTAGGGTTAGATGGCTTAAGGAGGGGGATGCCAACTCTAAGTATTTTCATTTCTATTTGAAGAATAGGAATCTGAAGAATTCCATCTCTTTCATTCCTACTGTTAATGGTCTTGTGGTGATTGTGGAGGGCATTAAAAGGGAGGTCTGCAATTATTTTGAGAAGATTTTTAAAGAATCAAATGAGTCCAGATCTGTGTTTGAGGGTATTAATTTTAATTCTCTTGACCCTTCTCAAGCTTTACTAATTGAGTATCCTTTTCTGAAGCTGAGATTAGAGAGGTTATGCAGGACTGTGATGGTAATAAAAGTCCTAGACCCGACATATTCAATTTGGAATTCATCAAAAGATGTTGGGACTTTATCAAGAGGGATGTGATAGAGTTCTTCCCGGAATTCCATGCTAATGTTTTTCTTCCCAAATACTTTATCTCTTTCTTCCTATTCCTAATTCCCAAGAACAACAATCATATGGGTTTAAATGAGTATAGAACCATCAGCCGGGTAGAAAGTATGTATAAGGTGTTATCTAAGCTCTTAGCCTCTAGATCGGAGAAAGTTCTTAGTGTCATTATTTCCCTCAATCAATTAGTTTCATCCCTGGTAGACACATGTTTGATGGTGTGTTGGTTTCCAATAAACTAATTGAGGATGCTACTAGGTGTAAGAAGGAGTTTTTACTTCTCAAAGTTGATTTTGAAAAAGCTTAGGATAGATTTAATTGGGAGATCTTGAGACTTCTGCTGAAGAAAATGGGGTTTAAGTCCAAGTGGTGTAGTTGGATGGAGGCCTGTATTTTTTCCAGTTATATGTCTTTCATTGTGAATTTGTCGCGGTGAGAATTGGATATTAAGTTATTGATTAACTTGAATCGCAAATGATTATTCACCAACGGTCTTTAATTTGTCCAAGGGAAGGGAAAAAGATCGAATGACCCAAGAGTATGCAATGCAATGCAAAGCTTAGAGAATCCAAGGTTCGGGGTTGGTTAAACTTAGGGAAGGTGTCAACATCCTAAGCATCAGTAGTACTCTACAGGAACCTCTTATTTATATTGCATTATTTTTGTTTGATAAGGGTAAGAGACCTAAGGGGATTATTTCTAAGTATATGTTAGATGCCAAATTTCACTTATTTGATCTATCAAATGTTGGCATTTTTCACTCATTTTTGTCATGAAGGTGTTGAAAACCACTCTTGCTTTGTTTGGTTTGCAATATATTGTGAAAATCTCTTGGTACCTTTGATTTTGTGTTATTGTGCAGGAATTATGCACAAAACAAGTGAAAAGCAAGACACGAGAAATGGGCAAGGAAACCAAGATAACATGCAAACCAAAAAAATGTTGTCATGCTCGCTAGGCGAGCTAGTAGCGAACGGCTCACTAGGCGAGCTGGTAGCGAACAGTCCCATATTTGGACATAACTGAAAGTATCATAAACTCGCTAGGCGAGATCAGAGCGAAGGCTTCGCTAGCTGCTCGTTAGGCGAACAAGACAGATCCTGAACGTGTATTTAAGTGATTTTCTTGCTTTTTTAGGTCATAACTTGATTTTGTAATATTAGATATAGCATAACTTATCTCTCTTCATTTCTTCTAGAGAGAGAAACACAAAACCTTAAGAGGGAGGAGGTAAGATCCTTGATCTCTTGTTGGGGTTTGGATGTAATCTTTTGATACCTTATGTATTTAATCTAATATATGTTTATGGACTAATTTGGATTCTTTATTGAATGATTATCTTTGATTGCTTATTGGTGGGTCTTTACAAAACCTTTTCACATCTTTGATCTCATATTTTCTTCTATCAATGAACAAACTTTTGACATGGTTTTGAAGTTGATATTCATTGTATCTTCTATGGTGTTGTGTTGATTAAGCAGCATGGGTAGGATCAATATAATATTGTGTGGGTATGTGATAATAGTGATGAAGAACGATGTTCACAACCATTTGGCGAATTAGATGAATACATGTAAAAAGGGTTAAGCGTGTGTACGTATTTTAATCATTGTATTTTATGCCAAACCATTGTTTATCTAATATGGGTGTTATCTTTGCTTTCTTGTTTATCTTTGATTTGAACCGTAATAGAGATATATGATCGCGACTTTCTATGTCTAACAATTCTAACTGCAAGTGCACAGTCTATCGCGTAGTAATAAAAGATATCAATCCCACAGGGACTCGTAATCAAACTAGTGTTCTCGGGAGTTACTATGTTTAGCTAGGTAGAATATGTTTTAAGGGAATAATGTTGTCACTAAAAGGGGAAACTAAGATTACTATTTAGATTTTTAATTAATTAAATCGATATGTAGTAATTATGTTCTTCATGGATTTGATAAGTTACTGGTGTATGAAATAGTTTTCGCAGTTTACTTAAGCAGAAAGTGGAGATTTGAAGACTCTCGTCTCACGATGGTTATTGCGCTAATCATAATCCTAAGGGCCTAACGTACACTTTCGTGTTCCGTTCGGGGTTAAAATTACTTTTTGGAAATCTCTAAGTTCTAATTAGTTTTAAAGTGCTTTCGCTGTTATTAAAACGAATGCCTAGTGTTTACTATCTGACCTTACCGCAGCTTTCGCTTGTTGGTTCGTATCTTAATTAATTTCCCACTTTCGTGGCAAAACTACTTTAAAACAAGTTCTCGCTTTCGCGACGAAGTTTATTTCGTAAATCAATTTTTAAACACTTAGACCATAAGTTATTTTTGTGAAAAGAAAGTTTTCAAACAAGAGTTATCAAATCCCATCCGAATTATTACTACATATCGATTACCTAAGTTTAGCTAGACATGGAATTTGGAAAAACAAAACATAAATAATAATAATAATAAATAATAAATTGCATTATGATAAAATAAGAGTCGATCAAAATGAAAACCTGTAAATAATGCCAATTGGCCTTTGGGCAGATCCTCCACAGATGTTGGCAGGATTCTGTCTTTAGTTCCAATTCGATCGTACAATGCAGTAACAAATACAGAAGAGCGGAAATGGGAATGAGTAGAATGGAAAGGGAAATAAAGGAAAGGGATACAATTGAAACTGGAGAAATGGATACAAATAATAAAAAGGCTGGAAATTAAATTTGCTCTTGAAAATAAATTTGGGCAGCACTTCGTGGTATGAATGCAGCTCTCTTTTTGAAGTCCCCTGCTTCCCTTTTTATAGAGGTGGGATTCCAACGGTTACCTCTGAGGATGATGGACCTTGAGGCAGATAATTTAGGGAGTGGTGGACCATTAAATGGGAATTGGAACTGCTCTTTTGACGTGTAATCTGAGTGGAGCGTTTTTGCCTGCATGACGGTCGTCACAAGGTGTGACGGTCGTCACCCGTGTGACGGTCGTCATGCATCTGTGACGGTCGTCACATCAGCAAAAACTGTCTGCTGCGCTTTTTATTGTGTTTTCACTCCTTTTTCGTCTATATTTCATCTGGGATTGCTTCTTTTCTTCATGTTGCCTTGTTTAGACGTGATCGTTGAATACCTGCAAAAACATCAGACAAATACATGGAAATAACCCGAAATCGGATCAAAAATGGTTAGCTTTTAGTCGAATTATGCATGAAAATATCTATATGATTTCGTGTTATCAAACTCCCCTAAGCTTGAATCTTTGCTTGTCCTCAAGTAAAACGTGAAAAAGTCGGCAAGCACGAGGCTGCTTCTTCGTTCGCGGAGTTTGGAAAAACCGGGATTCTTGGTAGGAACACGACGAGTATCGCGACGACACTGGACTACAAGTCTCCGGAGGTCTCCCTTTTATTGCAAATCGGTCTCATTCATGCTACTGTACCTTGGTGTCAAGGTTCTCGTGGCAAGTTCACCCTGTTTGTTCCAGCGCAATCACATTAGGCCCGTTGTCCGCACACTCTCATGGCAAGTCGACCTGTTAGTGAATATGATCTCGTTTTTGTTTTTGATCTTCTTCATTGATCATAATTTGGTGTTATTGATTTTTCAATGGGTTTTTCGTGCCGTTGGGCTAAATGCTCGGGTGAGGAGCACCTAACTTAGAAGGAAACGAATCTTATATTCTTGGGCTTTTTAGCTCTCTTTTCATGATTTTTCATCTTTTTGGAGATCATACACTTATTTGCATCGGTCGCTTGCTTAGAGGTGTTTTTAGGATGGTGCTGACTGCTA